AAATTATATGAAACCTGTCGCAAGCAATATCTACTGTTGTTGAAGAACCTTCTCCAAACTCACCTACGTTTCCATAAGAAACAGCAGTTGTATATTCGTAAGTTCCAGGAACTATTTCTGACCTTCTAATGGCATTGTCGCATTCGTTATACCATTCGGAAACATTTCCATTCATGGCATCCAAAACTGTTGGCGTTATATTCTGAGCGGCGTACATTTCATATGGGTAAAAATATAGAATAGTTGGATTTATATGTCATAATAGAACCCACTCCGACCAAGCTTTACTTTCTTCCTGACTGAGTTTTTAACTCTTCTTTTTCCTTCATTGCCACTACTTTCACTAGATGAAGTTACTTCTTCACTACTTTCACTTTGTTCTACTCTTCTTCTTTGGTGTCGCTTTGGTAACTTGCCCTCTGCTTCAAGTTGTTGCATCTTTGCCTCATGTTCATCTAGTATGTTGCAAATTTTCCATGCCCTTTTTGCCTTTTGGCTCTGGTCGCCCATCTCAGGTAACCTATATCCTAGAAAGAGTTTGTCATAGTCTGTATTTGAGTCTTCGCGTATTGTTTGCATGACTCTGTCCTGAGTTTCCGGTTCAAGCTCTTCAAACAGTGCCTGTCCATATGGAATATGCTCGTTTCCAAATATATGTTTTTGTAGCCATTCTGGTTTTCTTTCCATGTTACCAACTATATCTTTTGTGAATGGGAAAGCTTTTACCCAATCTTTCAGTCTTGCGTCGTTTATTTCTGTAGTTGGTTTTATTTTGTCAAGGAACATGTTTTTCAATACTAACATTTCATTTGGTACTGTCCATTTGAGTTTTCTTAAATATTCATCCCTTCTCGGTTCATTGTCTGCAAAGTAAGTTTTTATGACATTTTGTAAACTTTCGTTTGCAAGGTCATGTACAATAGGTTCTCTTCCTTCTCCCTCCCTAACTTTCTTTCTAAACTCTTCACCAAATATACCATCTCTATGGTTCTGTGTAGTTCTTTGAGATAAATGTTCTAGAACGTCAGGTGTTATATTTCCATCAGCCATGTTCATTTCATACTGGTCCAAAATATCTGCATGTTTCATATCTTTCAATGGCATTAAAGCCGCGCTTAAAATACCAGCTATATCTCGTTCACCATTCAATTCCATTGCGTCTACAACTTCTTGGAATTGTGGTTGTAAGTTTATGAACCACCTATCCGGATTAGCTTTATGACCCCATCTCATTGTAGTTCCATCGTCTGCAGAAACAAAAGTAGGTTTGTTTCCATCTTGGTTAGGTTCTGAATGAACTTTAAACAATGTTTCATTTCTATATGTTTTCTTGAAATTTAACCTTTTATTTTCACCGAGTTCATCCGAAGATTGAACGTTAAATGCTCGTAAGTAAAAAGGGTTGTTGTATTTGCGTACATTTTCTTTCAGTTCTTCCATTCTATGCTGAATATTTTCATCTGGTGTTGGAGTCTTTTGTATGTCGGCGAACATTTTTCGATATTCTTCTACTATGTCAGCCGAATTTTTTTTAGACTCTTGGAAATATTCCATATTCTCCGCATACTCTTGTTGAGGGTCAAGATTTTTCGGCTGTTCCAAATCTTCATCTAGTTCTGTGAAGTTAGTTTCCAAAGGAAGGACTTGTTCGTTTCCTTCAGGCTCTTCTAGCTGTTGTTGCTGAACTATTTCTTCCATGTCTGGTTGTATCTGAACTTCTTCCTGTGGAGTTTCTTGTACCTCATCTGCTGGCATTTCATATATTCCGAGACCGTTTTCAACAATTTCCCTATCTACGTCATCCGCATTCATAAGCTTTTGTTCTTTCGTTCCGTCTCTATTTTTTACGCGTTTCATGACGAAAGTTGAATTGTCATTTAGCTCTGACATCAAATATCTCGGAGTAAATTCATCCATGTCATTTGGATGATATGCTATTAAATCATATCCCTTAGCGAGCTTGTATTTTCCAGGTTTGAGATTATATCCGTTTTGGTGCTGAGCCATAAAGCTAAATAGGTTCGGGTCAGTATTTCCATCCTTGAACTTTCTAATAGCTTCTTTATATCTGTCACTAAAGTCAACAGTATCTGGGAAACCACACTCTTCTTTAAGCATTTTTAAGAATTCTTGGTTTCCTTGTTCTCTACTTCTTTTATGTCCTTGCTCTGTTTGTGGTTGTTGCTGTGCAGGGTTTTGAACTGTTGGTTGCTGTGCAGGGTTTTGAACTGTTGGTTGTTGTGTTGGTTGTTGTGTTGGTTGTTGTGTTGGTTGTTGTGTTGGTTTTGGTGCATGCCTGTGTCTGTGTCCATGTGACGATGTAAATGTTCTAGGTAGTCCTGGTGCAGGTGCTTCTCTTGGAGGGTTTGGTGGTATATAAGTTCCACCAGCTGGCACATATGTTCCATCTGCAGCGTAATGTCCTACCTGACTTTTCGTTCTTAAGAAAGCATTTACTAGGTCTGTTTTGGTCTGTTGTAACTCTTTTTCTTGACTTTTCACAACAGTTGCTCTAACGGCGTCATAGGCACTTTGAACTGCCTGTCTCGTTGCTGCATCTGTTATTTTCGTCATATTTTGTGCTACTTCTTTTAACTCTTTGTCGAAACCTTCAGACTTCAGTTTCTTTCCAGATGAGAAGTCGTTCACTTGTTTCACCTTACTATGAAGAGCTTCGAAAGCGTTCTTAAAGTCAGCATTTGTTAAAGCTTCATTTGAACTATCTTCATCCGCTTGTATTTTTGTCCTTATTGACCCTATGAGTTGGGCTGCTTTAGCGTTGGCTTGGGCATCTAACCAGTCATTGTTAGCTTTTATATATTCTGCGCTTTTCATTGCCTTTTGCATAGCCGCGTCGTTATTTTTACTTTCTTGTGCTAAGTTTTCATACTGTACGGTTTGGTTTTGCAACTGTAAAAGTTTTTCTGCCTTTACATTTGCTTCAACTTCTTTTTTATACTCATCGCTATCCATATATGTCTTCAGGGCTTTTTGTTTTATCTCTTCATCTTTCAGTATTTTATATTGAGTAGTATGGTTTTTCAAATTTATAACATCTTGTTCCATTTTTGCTACTTCTGCTGCTTTTTCTGACACTTTTTTCGCATATTCCTCTGTACTTAGTTCTTTCAGTTGTTCTTCTTTCTTCTTTTTCTCTACGTTTAACTCATTGAGTTTCTTTGTGTGTCTGTCATATTCTAGTTTCTTTTCGTTTTCACTTATTTGCTTCTGTATGTCTATGTTTGACTTTTTGACATCTGTTATTTGATTTTTGAGTGAACTCAAATTCATTTGACTTTGAGGGTTATAGGCTGTTCCGTCTGCAGCTCCACCATAGCCTGCCATTTTCGCTAAAAGTGCCGCTCTTAAACCTCCACTCTGTGCACCAGTAACTCGGTTTAAAAGCATAGGATTGCTTGACATTTGTTGCAACATAGTGGGGTCATTCAGCATTTGTTGTTGCAACTGTTGTTGTGGTGTCAGTCTTACTATTGGATGTTTCAATGCTCTCTTCCTCTTACGTATATTCTTACGTAGCTTACGTGGCATTTTAAGTGAAGTTAAAAAGCGGTTTTATACTAAACATCTTCGGGGCTAGAGGGCACGAAGTGCCTGGAAGCCCCAATGCCTTTTTTTTTTTTTTTTTCACAATACTTGCAAAAACATATTATTTTAAATTGCTGCTATACAATCTGAAGAATATTCTTTTTGGTAAATAACTTCAATGTTGAATGATCGTTAAACTTCATAACAGAGTTGTTTTATTATAGATATTAAAATAGAGTAACCCGATTTATTATTATAATATAAAACAGTTTTATAACAAAAAAAATATATTTTAGATTTATCTTCTTCTAATTAAATATATCAAATTGCAACAAGAGCTGTCATTTGGATGTTTTATATAATTGAATTCGATTAATTTTGTTCCAATAAATCTATCATTATCATTGACAGTCAAAATTTCAATGTCAATTTTCCCATTCTTATTATTAGATGGGAATTGAAGAACGACATCAAAATTGTTGACCAATATTGATTTCGGTGTATATTCTTTTCCAAGAAATGAAGCTACAATTCGGTTTGCATTAACATTCCCATTCAATGAAACTATTCCAACTAAAGTAATGCTTTTGGAAATGTAGTATGAATCAAAAATTGAAATGACTACATGAATTTTGTAATTGAAATTGGAATTTAAAATTCTTGATTGAATACCATTTCTGATATAATTTGTACCCTTAAACTATGCTTTCCTATAGACAAGATTCTGAGTAATATGTATTTTAACATTTAATAGTTTATGTTTTTATCTATCTTCTTCTAATATAGCTTTGGATATTCATACAATAGCTGCCTTTTGGTTGTTTGATGTAATTGAATTCGAATGATTTTTTTCCAATAGCTATATCATTTTCATTGATGACAATAATATCAATGATGTGAATTCCATAATTCAAATTAGATGGAAATTGAAGAACTATATCAAAATATTGATATTTGTCTATTCCATCATTTAGTAATATCGATTTTGAAGAATCCGTAAAGTCTCTAAATGAAGCATTTACTCTTTTTGCATTCGGATTCCCTTTCAAAGATATATTTCCAATTAATACAACTTTTTGTGAGTTATACAACATATCTGAAATTGATATAATAGCTGGACATATATAAGTGAAAGTTGCATTGAGAATATTTGATGCTGTTCCATCTTCAGAAATAATTTTCACGCTTAAAATATGTGTTCCTGTAGTAAGCCAGTCTGGGATTTTATTCCAAGAAAGAATTGATCCTATTTCACGGTCAAATTTAAATTTAGATATTCTTGCATTTGAAAAATCATCATCGAACCAATAATAAATATAAGTCAAGAGTAATATTTATTGGATTATCTATATTGTCATCAAACCAATACTGCAAGGTCACTGTCCCGAATCTTTTTTATTTACATTTTAATATTAAAAAAAAGCATGTTTATAACAATGATATATAGTTTTTATTTATCGTTTTCTAATATGGCTTTGAATGTTCATACAATGACTGTATTTTGTTTGTTTGATGTAATTGAATTCGATAGATTTTTTTCCAATAACTCTATCATTTTCGTTTACAGCAAGAATATCAATGATATGAATTCCATATTCCAAATTAGATGGAAATTGGAGAATAACATCAAAATATTGATATCCATTGATTCTATCATTAAGTAATATCGATTTTGATGAATCAGCAAAATTTCTAAATGAAGCATTGAATCTTTTTGCATTCACATTCTGTTTCAAAGATATATTTCCCATAAATGCAACATTTTGTGAATTATAGAACATACCTGAAATTGATATAGTGGAATTAATTATATTTGATTCTATTTCATCATTGGAAATGATTTTCATACTTATCTTATGAGTTTCTGTTGTAAGCCAGTCTGGGATATTAATCATTGATTGGTGAATTCCATTATTCTGTTGAAATGATACATTATCCATTATAAATTTTGTCGAATTATCATCAAACCAATATTTAATAGTTGTATAGGGTGTCCAAAGGTGTGTTTAGCACAAACCTGAATACTGCGAATAGAAATAAACAAGTTACATATATATAAAGTTTATTTAAATATAATCACCATTGGATTCAATCACGCGTTCGCAGCGATCGATCCAGGCTTGAAAGACACGCTTTAAATCATCATGAGAAAATTGCTCAAATTGCTCTCTTACAAAATTTTCAAGATCATCTGGACTCGCGAATTCGCGTCCTTCAGCTCTCTTTTTTAGCGTGCCGAATAAATAAAAGTCAGAGGGTGCAATATCAGGTGAATAAATTGGGTTTGGAACAACTTTGACATTGTTTTCCACCAAGTAATTCATTACCTTATGACTTTTGTGAACTCTTGAATTATCAAAATGAATTGCAAACTTTTGTTTTTGTTGTTTGGATTTCTCAAACTCATCAGAATTGATAATTTGAGTAAGAACATTGTCAATTAGATACTGAGCATTCATCGTATTAGGTTTTTGAAGAATATCAATTGCGATGATGCCATTCACGCCCCAAAAAACCGACAACATCATCATTGGTGTGTCAATTTTTTTCTTCGGGAATGTTTGCGGATTTTCATCCTTCGGGATCCACATGATTTTGGCTTCTGTTGCATATTGAAACCAAGACTCGTCCCCTGTTACTAAAAAGCGAAACTTCTTGGATTGATACGCACCCAATATAGAGAGGAGCTCTTTCGAAGATTGGACTCTAGATTTTTTTTGAACTGAATTAAGGTTGTGCGGAACCCAACGTGTATACGCTAGTTTGTAGTTCAAATAATTGTGCAGATAATAACTGACTGTTGTACGTGGTATCTTTGTCATCTCCTCTATCCTTCTGAGTGATGCTCTTGGGTCTTCATCTAGCGCTTGAAGAATTGCTTTGATTTTTCTTTGATCCGGCGATTTTTTGTCAATTTTTATGATGGGCGCCTTTTTGTTCATGAAGTGATACATCCTAACATGATACGTTACAGTGGAATAGCTAGGAGCATCCATACCGAAGCATTTTTACCAATGTCTCGTAGATTTTTTTACAGTCTTTGCATTTTTTTGCAAGAGCGAGGATGTTTTCTTTATGATTCATTAAAAAAATGAAAAAAATCCCGCCAAAATTTCCCGCGAAACCGCCTCTTGTCTCAAAATTCATTTTATATCCCGGCATGGCGCCAAAATACAACATACTCATCATATACATATATTCATATTTTTTATTATATATTTATAATCAGCATATATCTCCTTTAATAGTCTCATATAGAGCGCTGTGCTAAACGCACCTTTGGACACCCTATATTTTTAATAACTAAGCCAAGATCGAAATGTACTGTTATATTTAATTCTGTGTCAATACTTTTTATCAGCGGACTATTTTCAACTTGTAGTGAATGGATGTATACATATTTCTTATTAAAGTCTTCTGATTGTATAATTTTTACATTAGGCAAGTTTAATGACAAATAGCTGATTGAGTCAGATATAGAATATGATCCATAATATGTTTGAGTGAATGAATTTGTTGAAGAAATCCAGCAGTGTATAAAATAAATTACTGAAGAACTATACGCATATGATAGATATTCAGCTGAATTATAAGTGATAACGCAATCTCTCACACTGATGCTGCATATATCATTTAGTAAAAAGATTGGATTAATATAATAAACATTTATTTTGCAATTATTATTTATAATATTGAGTTGATGAATCATTCCCATAAAATCTTCATGAGCAAATAATCTGTATTTTGATGTTATATTGGAGAATGTAGAAAATGAAATATTTGCTTGTATTTTTGAAAAAACAGAGTAGCCAGAATATCTTTGAGATGAAACAATATTTGAAACATTTATGTTATTGAATATAATTTTTCCGTATTGACTTCTAATGGTGGTTCCACATGCAACTGAATTTGTGAAAGTTGACTCAATAATGTAACTTGGTGATAAGTCATTGCTACTTGTAACTACATTTGAATGTATTGCGGTAAATGTATCACCACTTATCGCTGTATTGTATGAAGATACCTTAACTTGAATCAAATTTCCGCCTATTTTATTAATTAGATTACCAGTTAATTCAACAGAAGCTTTATTCGAATTTGAATCGAATATTGTTTTGTATATTAGAGCCTTTTGATTATCACGGAGATCAATTATTCTTGTTTTGAAATACGATAGTAAGACATCATGGAGAAAGTAATTTCCATATTCATTAATAATGCTTGTATTTTCAGTGATAGGCTTATACACATTATTATTGCTGTAATATTGATTCCAAATGTCATCTGGATAATTTTGTTGAAATAAAACTTTAAAATTCGGTAATATGTGAACAATAAAAGCTGACGCAGCATTTTCGTAATGTATTTTCCCTTTGATTTCCTTCTTAATCTGATCTTTTATATTATTGAATTGAAATTTGATCAATTTGGAATATGGTTGTGAGTTTTTGTCTTGCTGATAAAAGGATATGAGCATGTATATGTTGGAGAGAATGAAGAATGTAAAAATCACTTGATTTATAAGGGAAAATCTTCTAATTTGACATTTTTTGCCAAGCCAAAGAGTTGAAAAAATTCATTTCATAAATGATCAAGATATGAATAGAAAATTTTTGACGAATTAATCAAAATTATCCGAACATTTCAAAATTTTATCCGAAATACGATAAAAGAGCAGATAAGTTTACTTTTCACGTCCAATGAAAATCCTATGTAGCATACATATGAATCATACATTATTATGATAAACATAAATGTATTTATATCGCATTTGGCGATATGTTTACATTTTCGATAATTTACGCAATAATAATATATTTTATTCTCTACATAACTTGTTTGTGTCAAGGTTTAAACCTTAACTGCATCATCCTTGATTTCTTCATCGGATTTCTGATCTGAATCATTCATATCAGCAGATGAAGCATTATCGAGGGCCTTTTGTCTGTCAGAGTATTGCTGCAAGAATGCTGGAAGAGAGACGAAAACGCATGATCCGACAGCACTTCCGATTGAAACGATGAGTAAGTTAAGAATTGTAGCTTTCCAAGTCATATTCTTGATGCCATCCTTCTGCATAAGACCATTAGAGAGGCAGAACCAGTTAGCCATGCAGTGTTCAAGGCCGAGTATTGAGAAGTTACCGATTGCAAGGAAAACAGCTAAAACTTTTCCGCAATATGATGTTGTCATGTTAGCCATGAATGTAGCAATAGAAACAAGGGCGTTGCAAATCATAGCCTTTGCAAACATGTTTCCATAATTCATATGAGTCTTCTTGTAGCAGTAAGCAGCAACTTTTTGGCCAACCCAGTTATCGTATGGATTGCTAGAAAGTCCTGTAGCCCAGCCGGTGAAGAAAGCACCAAAAACGCAGCCAAGAGCGTTGAAAATGTAGGTCATTGCAAGAGCATAAATGAGCTTTTTATCTGGAGCACGGCGGTTTAATGCACAAAGAACTACTGGAACAAGATCTCCTGTGAAAAGGTAGCAGTTTAAGAAAAGAATGTAATCGAGACCAATGGCGAAGCAAAGGGCAAACATGATTGTTTGTCCTGATTCGATTGTAGCAACAACACCGAAGAGGAATGAGAATGAAATGAAGACACCAGAGAGGAATGAACGAACAATGTAGTTGTATGTTGGTTCATTGCAGCGAACAACACCAGCGTTTGTAAGCTTTTCGCATATCTCGGAGTATGGAATGAGATCTCCCATTGAGAAAAATGATTGATTGTGATCTATTCTCAATTTTTCATGGGTAATTGTCACAAAATAGATCTCTCAGAATTTTTCAATGTCATCAAAATTTTTCCAAAAAATATTGAGAATGGTTTTAAAATTAAATTTTAAGATATGTTTTTAAAATCCATAAATTTATTCAAATTAATTGAGAGCGCTATGGTCACATCCAAAGAATCATTGAATTCCATTGTTTGAGAATCGTTAATGTTTTTAGAAGCTTCGTAATGAGTTATTGAGCGCTACTATTTGATGGATATTTAATAACTTAAATAATTATATTTTGTATTGGAGAAATCACGGGGATTTTACTCCCTTCAGAATTTTTCTGAGCTTGCCAAATTGGTCAAAACTATATTGTCATGTTCAATATGATGCACATAATGTCATGCGCAAATATGATCAAAATAAAATTTAAAAGCAAAAGCCATAACTATTCTCAAAATTTTTATGTAATTCAATCATACTAAATCGAAAAATCAGAATTATTCATATCCTTTAATTACAAGCTTAGGCCCGTATAGTTGTTTGGAAGTCCTCTCAATTTTGAGAGAGTTATAAGAATATAGAGAAAACAATCGATAGGCCAGAACATTGAATTCCATTTCCCCGAAAGATCTAATCTACTGATGGATATAGACCTAAAGTTTATCTTACTTTGATCAGGAGCCATTTATCGTTGATGGATCCGAAATGTTTTGAATCAAAAAATAACAACTTTTGTGCAAAATATGATATGTGTTATGTTTAATCAAGAGTAAATAATTTTTTACAGGTTGGTCTCAGACAATTGAGTTCAAAAAAAAAATCAAATACTAAACAAACAAATAATTTATTGGAATTTCTTTGACTTTGCTTTCTTTAGTTTCTTTTTAGATCTTCTCGACAATCTTTGCTCTTCCATTGATTTCAAAATTGAATTCAAAGGATGCTCCTCTTGATCAGCTGTTATCTTAGCAACAACCTTCTGTGTTTCTTGAGCTTCTGCATCTTCGGCATCTTCTTGTTCTTTCTCTAGTTTGTCTTGAAGAATATGCGCTTCTTGAATAAGTTGCTTTAACTGATCCTTAGCAACACTTAGTTTCAATCTTGCATCTGAAAGCTTACCAAATGCTTCGTTTCTTGTTTTGTCATACTTGAGTTCTGTTGAATTTTGTCTTTCAACAGCTTGATTTGCTTGGGTTATTTCTTTTGAAAGATTCCTGTGGAGTTCTTGTTCTTCCTTTTCATATTTGATCTTAAGAGAGACAAAATCATTTGATCTTGTAGCTGATTTGTTTCTTAAATCTTCTAAAATTTGTGTCTTCTCATGGAGCAGCTGGGTTTGCTTTGCTATCTCTTCTGTGTACTTTTCTTCTGTTTCTTTGTACAAAACCTTCATATTTTCTAATTGAACTTTAATATTATTCAGATTTTTCTCTTCCATGTCGATATTTGAGTGAAGATCCGATAAATGTTGTTCTTCTTGCTTTAGTTCTCCTATTTTACCTTTTGCAAGCTCAGGAACTCTGTTTTCAATGTCAATTTTGTGCTGATTCAAGCATTTGTTCCAAGAATCAAGTGCAGTGTAGGAGAAATCATTATAAGCTAAGTCAATGGTGACGATATTCATACTGTGGCTTATAGAATTTACAAATTCATAAGCTGCATCATCTTTTAATTCATTATCTCTGATATATATCTCAGAGATGGTAGTATTTGCAAGTAGAGACTTGGCAATTGATATTCCACCTTCGTTTCCGATAACGTTTGATGAAATATTTATGATTTCAAGAGTTTTGTTTCCAATGATAATCTCTGCAATAGTTTTGGCTCCTGCATCTCTAAGGCCACAATTAGAGAAGTCAATTTGGACAAGGGATTTGTTTTTGATCAGATAATCTTTAATTTGTGCAATTCCTTCATCTTTCAATGGATTTCCTGATAAAATCAGTTTCTTTAGACATGTCAATGAACGAATAAGCATCTCAAGAGCATATAATGATTCGTGGCCGATGTTATTTCGAGCTAAATTTATGGATTCAAGTTTGCAGCCTTGATTCATAATTGATTCCAAACGAGTTAAGAATTTTTCATTTAACTGGTTATCAGATAAGTCAATATGACGTAATTTAGGTGCAGATAAAATTCTATTGCATAATAATTTCGAAATTGAGCAATTAATAAGATTCTTTGATAGTATAATTGTTTCGAGAGATCCGAAGCTTCCTTCTTTCAGCATTGCTTCTATTCCTTTTGCTCCAAGGTCATTAGAAGCTAAATTTAAGTAAGTTAAGCTGTCGTTATTAGTAAGACTTACTCCAATCATGTGAGCGCCTTCTGTTGTAACACTGCACAATGATACGTTAATTTCTGTAAGAATCTTGTTATTATACAAACATCTTGCTAAACCACGAGATCCGTCTGTATCAAGTCTATTTCTATTTGTTCCATCGATTGCGCTTAGATTAATTATGCATAAATGATTGTTATTTTGTAAAGCAGTAAAAATTACTTTTGTGCCTACGATATTGATGCCTGCAGACCTCAAATCTAGTGATATTAAGTTAGGATCTGCTTCAAGATATTTGGCTATTGAAATTGCGCCAGCTTCTTGAAGTAAATTTAGAGATAAATCGAGAATTAAATAAGGAGTATTTAAAAGTACTTTCGAAAATAATTCCATGCATGTCGAAGTAAAGCCGAATTTTGAAAAGTTTAATGTTTTGTTTTTAACATTTGAGTAAAATTGATCAACAAATCTATCTTCGGCAGCATCTAATTGTTGGATTTCAAGTTCTTCACATTTGATTCTGTATAAATTACGAACTGTCTGTTCAGAAAATCCATAAAATTGTAATGAGCGAGAAATTGGTGAATTTGGTGAAAGTCTAACAGGAGGTAAAGTGCATGAAGCGGTATGAGGACGAGACCCTTTGCGAGAGACTACGATACGCTGTATTTTGCTATCGAGAGTCCTCCTTTTAGAGTCAGAAAGAAAGCGCTTTATGTGAAAATGAACGTTATTAGAGTTAGGAAGATATTGTGAGAAGAACAAAAGAAAATGGAAATAAGAAATGTTTAAAGATACTGGTGATAAGCAAGAATACAATGTATGGGCTTGAATTTAATGAATTCTTTATTCATCATATTTGATTCAAAGTATCTCCAAGAGCTTAATCATTAGTATTTAATTTCAGAAGGAATGGTGGAGCTATGTGCTCGGAGAATTTTGTATGATCACAAAATAAAGATAAGATAAGGGTTCTGCTGAACAATGTTGATGGATATGGCATTTATGGCTATGAATATGGATTTTCTCATACTGCGGACTTATCAACTTTAAACTCCATCGAGTCAAAATGATTTTTGTTTTTTCAAGCTTTAGAAAAGACTTATAACTCCCAGAGACTTTTCTTTTCGTTGAGCTTTTAGCCATTTGGAATTTTTCAATTAAAAATCGCACTTTTTGTAATCAAATTTTCTTTCGATGACAAGCATTCGTAGCCGTAAGGGAAAGAAAGAACTTTTGCTTAATATTCCGAAGTTAGAGCAACCTATCACTATTCCTAAAAACTTATCAAGCAATATTACGCTTAAAGATCTTACATTTTTAGATTTTGTTGGAAAAGGTGCCTTTTCCACAGTGTACAGGGTCAAAATGAACGATACAGGTGAAATTTATGCCCTTAAAAAGATAAAATACGCCGAAACTCAAGAACAATTAAAAGTTATAGTAAACGAAATTGATTGCATGAATACATTAAGGCATCCTAATGTTCTCCGTTTGTACAATGTTTTTTACCAATCAGGAGCAATTCATATTATCATGCCCTATATTAATGGTCTTACATTAGCAGAAGCATTGAAAATCATGCCAATACCACCAGAAGCGCAACTTGGCCGCATTTCTTACTTAGCAGTCCAAGGATTGCATTATTTACGAAAGAATGCATACATTCATCGCGATTTAAAGCCATCAAACATTCTTCTTTCCCTTGAAGGACAAGTTTTGATTGCTGATTTTGGCTTAGCTCGTCAACTTACTGCTTCATCCGAGCAGGCATGTTCTTATGTCGGCACAATCTCATATATGGCCCCAGAAAGAATCAAAGGAAAGGAATACCAGTTTAAGAGTGATGTTTGGAGCCTTGGAATCATTATTTACCAAATGGCACTCGGTCATTTCCCACTTCCAAAGGATCCAGCTCAAGTCACATACTGGGACATATTAGATTTTGTCGATAAAGAAGTTAGAATTGAATTACCTGATCCTTACGCCCCTGACTTCAAAGCATTTCTTATGAAATGCCTTTATCCTAACCCTGAGCAACGCTCTGATGTTAATGAACTTGTTAATGATCCTTGGATTCAGAAATTCTCATCTCCAGCTTATGATGCAGATCTGAAGAAATGGATTAACGAAATGCACCAAAAGCATATGGAAAATAAGAAATCAGCACCCACACTTGGTGATAGTGTATTATAATTACAATGTTTAAAAGAATAATTTTTTGCGAATCAATTTTTTTAATTTAATACAAAATATCTATATGTTTTCCTATTCAATATGAGCTTTGTAATCTAATCCCTCTGACACAGGGATTCAAAAAGCAATTTTTACGTCAGATTCCTTCTGAAAAAACTAAATAAAAAGTTATTTCGAAATTTTCTAAGAGGAAATGCACTTTTGAATAGTATTATTTCGTATTCTTTCCGTTCTCCATTGAATTCGATGCAACGAATAAAAAAATTGATATAAAATCAAAGAAATAGTACATATGATTGAGTTTATATTTTCGAAAAATAAATTTTATAAGTGAAATGAATTTCGGTTTTTTACATCCAAAATATAAAATGTTTTCTTGGTTGTATGTTTAAATTTCTAACGACAGTAAGCGCGACGTAGGCACATTTAAGCCTGTAAAGGGTGTGGAGAAGCAATATAGAAATCCAAAACTTCAGATTTTATGGCAGCAAACAATGATGTCTGATCTTAGAAAGGGAGTTAAGCTTCCTCCTGGTGAAAACAAGAATGAATGGATTGCAGTATCTACTGTTGATTTTTATAATCAACTCTCTTTCATACTCAACCCACTTCTTGATTTTTGTAAGGAAGAAACTTGCCCAGAAATGAGCGCAGGTCCTGGATTTAAATATTTATATCAGAAAATTAATACAAAGGATAAACCAATCACTCTTTGCGCAAGAGAATATATATGCCGCGTAATGGAAGAAACGGAGGAGATTATTGAGAACGAAAGTATATTCCCTCCGGACACAGATGTTCCTTTCCCTAAGAATTTCATTGAAATAGTCTCAAAAGTATTCAGGAGATTATTCAGAATTTACGCGCACTTATACCATCATCATCTTGACGATATACAAAAATGCCAAATTCAAGAGCAAGTCAATCGCTCATTTAGATACTTTATTTTCTTCGCTCAGGAGTTTGAATTAATTCCACAAGAGCAACTTGCTCCTCTTGAATCTATCATACAACAATTATAATTTCTTATTTGTGCATTTGTTTAAGATCAAGACTTTTAAATGCAAATTTTTTTTTATAAGTTAGCTTTATGAAGTTAAAGTATTATAACAAAATATTTTGATACATAATAGACGACTCAACAATAGCATCTGGTTCGATGTTTCTACTTATTCAATACGAAATTTTGCAAATGTAAATTTGTATTAGTTCTAATGAAAATATATTTCCATCAGATAAAATAGTATTGTTATTATCATATATTAGTATGATAACATTCGTTAAATAAAAATGCCAATTCTATTACATTTAAAATCCGTAATTAACTTGGCATACAGTAAAAGTTGTCGATGTATTTTTATATTCTTTCATCTAAATCTGGAAGTATTTTGTATATTGGGAAAGGGTATTTTAATTTCAGTCTTTTTACTGAATATTTGCGATGTGTAACACGGTCGTATGCTGTTCTATTCTGTGTATAATCTTCGTAAGATAATTTTGCGAAAATAAAATTGCAAATAAATAAGCAAGCAAAACCTAATGTAATGACAAACGAATCTGTTGAGTTGAATCCATTGTAGTAGCTCTTGGAGAAAAATGTAATGATTCCGGCGAAGAGCCAAGATAATGTACCGTATACTAAGAAAATAACAAATGCTTGAGAATTATGAAAACCAATGCAATTTCCAATAATGAGGCAGTGGTGATCAAATTTGTAGTAGCATAAATTACATTTGGAACAGTGATGAGTTCTTTCTGTCTTTGGTAAATTGCATTTCTCGCATTTGTTTAACTTTTCACTTGTGAGGAATTCGTATTTTTCTTTTTCGTGTGGTTTAATATTTTTAATTAGGGAAATAGTTGATCCAGCATCTATCCAACAAACAATTATATAACTCCATAAAAACATAAATGAAATTATAGACCAAATTATTGCAGTTATTAAACTTAATTCTTTGAAGATATAGCTGGAAGGACTAATAAAGTAATGATATACGTAATAGTTCATTCCAGCATATACGAGGAATAGCATTATTCGTTGAGGAAGCAAAATAAGACGGAATGGTGCTAACCTCATCAACTTGAAATGATAAACTTATAAAGAAGTGAAATATTTTGATGGAAATACGATCCTTGAGTCTATTACAATCATTATATCATTCACATAAATCATCAAAAATTCCAAAAAAATTTCAAAATCAAAAAAATGAAAACAACAAATGATGAAAAAAATTCAAAATTCAAAAATTATTTGTGCCTCGTCGTCCATATGTATATAAATAAATATTTTTTGTGGATATAAATATTTGTGATTTTTCTCAATATTTGATCATATGAAACACTTATTTTAAATGTCAATGGTTTGATAATAAGAATTGATTATTTGGTTGATTTATCTTTTCTTGGGGATATGAAAAGTGAAAAAGAAAAAAACATAATCGTTTTTTTGATGTGAAGATTAATTAAGGGTGCCCCCGTATGTACGTTTATTTGAGAGGAGGAGGATTACCCTCTCAATTTTGAGGGATTCGTTAGTTTATTTTCTCGATGAATATGCAATAAAATTTGATTTTTACCTTATCAATATACTTCATATAATATACACATGTTCATGTAAAAACTGTTTTCCAAAATCCTCAGGAATTAAGGGATTTTTGAATTTTAAGAATTTTTTCGACTTTTTTCGAAAAAAATATTTTCAGAACAGCCTTAACGGCTAAGATTTAGGAACAATGTTAAGTATCAAAAAGAAAGGAGGTCTGATATAGACAACATTAGAGATGCGAGTTTCCGAATTTTTTTAGCCCTGGGATGTCATAACCGCTGCGGTTTTGTAAAATTTGGGATAAATTTTGACAATCCATTTTTTGTGGGATGTACGTTTATATCAATTTGCTCGGCGTTTGCCGAGCTATTGTACAATCCTACTCGAATTCATTACGCAGCCCTGGTCACTCAAAGGCCAGGGCATACAATTACAAAATAGTAGAGTGAGACTCTTCTAATTTCTTCCAATCACAAGGAAGATCTTAGAAGAGCCTCACTCTACTCGAACACATTACGCAGCTCCTGCTCAACAATGAGCAGGTCTTACCACTTTGAGAGGCTTTCGTTCGAGTTCTGATGCAGATCCCAACGCGAGCGAGAGTCTCTCAAGCAAGCTTCTAATTCGTAGCTAGAGTTTCACTCTTATGAACTGGCAGCCAATTTGAGAGAATTTCGCTCGAGATCTAATGAAAAATCAGAACTCGGCCAAAAATTGCCCAAACAGGCTTGTAATTCGTAGCTATAGTATTGATCGTATGGATGTGTTGCCAATATTAGAGACTTTCGCTCGATGTCTGATATTGCATCAGACATCGAGCGAAAGTCACTCAAAACAGCTTAGACATGTCTATTTTGACGGCATTAAATGATTTCATAGGAAATGTCTCAGTTGTTAATTAAGTTCACGTGAGCTTTTATGAATGAAAATAAGTAAAAAAAAAGAATTTTCTCAAAAAAAATTGTGTACGCATTGAAATTTTTATCTATAAATTTAGATATGTCATCAATAATATAATATAATTTTAAATTCGTGGAGTACACTTGGGATAATTGAATATGGGCTACCCCATCCCAACCTCTCAAACTTCCTCTGAATTTGGACAAGGTATCCCAATCCCAAAGACCTATCTGAATAAAATGAAATAAGTATATTATATATATTATTTATTTGCTAATAATGAGCATAAATCGCTAAAATTATGAAGAAATTAAAAATTAAAAATTAAAATTAGAAAAAAATGTTGATTTAATGAGAGAATATTGTATAAAAATAGAATTATTAGCTAAAATACGTATTAATTTTATGATATTTCAATCACATTAACGAAAATCGCCCATTTTTAATTCAAATGGGCGGGAAAAAAAATAAAATTCCAAAAAAAAATTGAATTGGGGAAACGATAGGGGACGGGCTATGAGAAACCCCATATGTTTGGGAATTTTTCGCATCACTAATAAAAACATCCTTTCTTATAATTTCATTGTAAAATAAAATTTTCTTAAATTTATTGAATCCAAACTCAACTTTGCAACATTTTATTATCATAAAAACTAAGAAACATCAGGTAAACTTCAATTTGGAGAGCTTAAAATCATATCTAAATTGAAAAATAAGGGGAAAAAAATTGTAAAAAAAATCTCATTAGATGGGGCAAAAAGTGACTTTTTTAATGTGTTTTTTTAAAAAATCGTGCCAGCTGGCCAGAAAAGGTGTGCCAGCAGGCGTGCCAGTTTGTACAACCCTAATGTTAAGTATCAAAAAGAAAGGAGGTCTGATATAGACAACATATATCGTTGAAAGTTGAAAAAATCTCTAATATTTGAGCCCAAAATTTCAAATTTTAATTTTTTGAAAAAAGAGGCCACCCGTATGTACGTTTATTTGAGAGGAGGAGGATTATATTTTTGAAAGGGTGAAACATTATGAATATGTTAATTATATAATAATATGTATTATTATAAAAAAGAAAAAATAAGGCACGTTAAAATTTTTCTTTCTTGATTTTTTACAAAATCTACTTAGAATTATGCAAAATATGACTAAATAATTATAAATTTCAAGTTAAATTTTAATTTTGATAAATAATTTAAATTTCAAAATATCAAGTTCAGTTCGACTATGTATGTAGTAATTCCTCAATAAAGTGCCAAAACCCTATTAAAATATATGAACATTTTCAACATTTTAATGTTTTTATTTAAAAATTTGTTGGAATATGGGCTTCAAACAATTATTATGTAAATAAAAATAATTAAATATATGTATTTATTCGTATTACAACCGTAGTAAGTCGATTCTTCCTTTCTTCTACTGAGTTTTGAATTTGATTTCGAATTGTAAAGAGATTCAAAGGGAAAATACTAGCGGATAAAAACTACCTCCATGAAAGGGTCATAATGGAGTCAAGTTGTATTTTTTGATATTTTTTTGCTTTTCGAGCCTAAATAGGTAGCCAAGATAATGCCTAAAAATAAGGTTCTAAATTCTGAAGTTTACATGATCCTCTCGTGTGCACCCTTAATATATGACTAGTCTTATATCCAACATCTCTACATTAATTTCGAGAATTAGTATCTACAAAAATCATTTATATCCTATTTGGGATCTGATGTTTAATTTTTTGACAAATACGAATTGTATGGAATATGCCGAAACAATGAATTGTTTAGTAGCAGTAATAGAATGCAATATTGAATTAGATGAAATTGATCAAAACAATATGCTTTTTTAAACATTAGTATCTGATAAATCAAATAAATTGAATTTGTTTACAGAATTCTTTAATTGTAAGAAGATGTTGACAATTAAAGTGTTATGTTTGAGAGCAATTAATGGTCACACACGTGTTCTGCGACTTTCTTCTTTCTGATCCATCATTGATGTCAATGCCACTAACAACTCATCAGTACAGCATTGATCCGGGCAGCTTCGTGACGGACATTTCGAAGCTTTAGAACTTCTCTTGAGTTTTCCAGGCATCGAGAAGAACATCGTCGACAAGAAGAATCGCAGTGCTCTTCCATTACGCAGTTCTTCTCCACCACAAACAGTGCGTTGAGTGTCTTCTGAACGACAAAGATGTCAATCCACAACTTCCTGATGATTCTAGTTTCACACCTCTTCACATCGCTGCATCTAATGATTTCTCAGACTTAATCCGTCTTTTCGCCGATCGAGATGACGTTGACTTGAACTGCGTCGACTCAATCAGTGGACACCTCTCCATGTTGCCGCTAAATGCGCTCAACTAGTTTCGTCGAAGAGTTGCTTCAACACGAAAATGTCGATGTCAACCGTCAGAACTTGATGAAGCGAACTCTATTTTCAACGCTATTGAAAACGAAAAAATCGAAGTTGTCAAAGTTCTCCTTTCTCGTGAAGATCTCGATTTGAGTGTTGTTGACAGCGAAGGACACACAGCTAAAGACGTCGCACTCCAGACAAAGAACGAAGATATCATTAATCTTCTTTTAAATAAATGTTTTTTTTATTATTTTTATTTTTTAATAAAAAATGATAAATAAATTCTTGGAAAAATTAAGCACTCGTCATGGAAAATGATAATTGATGAATCGCATTGGAAGCAGATTTCTCAGGTCCTTTACATTTAGTAATAAATCCTGCTTCACAGAGATGTGTTGAAAAGTGAGTGAGATTTTGAATAAAACATGTATTTTGAATATTATTCCAATAAACTGTTCCGAACGAATTATATGGCAATTAATACACCTATCAAGTGTACGGAGGCACTGCGCGCCTCCTTACCCATGATATGTGAATTTGACACTTTACGAAACCGTTAACGTATACTTTACAACACAAACGACAACACTAACTTAACCTTAAATATTTACAAGCCGCCAACCACTTCACCTCACTAATGTAAAAAAATAAACGTTCTCACTTACAAAAGTATTGCAACTCCTCCCATTGCTGTGCTTCATATAACAGCTCATAATCTTCTGACTCACTTTCTTCTTCATATAGGTCAAAATCACTGTCATAGTTTATACCTGTAAGTTTTGACAAAGCTAATGAAACACGCTTACCGTTTGTATCATATGCTTGTATAAACTTTCCATTATGCTTGTAGTCATAAACGCTCAAACTAACTTTACCCTTTCTCCCTCGTATCTGATAGAATGTATTTTCACGAGGAACGAAGAACAAATTCTTGAACTCATGACCGTTGTAGTTTGTTATCTCAATAGTTTTCGTCATTTATATAAATAAAATATAAAATAAAATAAAAAATAAACTTAAAAATTAATGATATCACCACCTCACACGTATGAAAACATAGCACAAAAATAAATTTAGGTGAAGTGGTGAGATCTCACCTCTTTTTTCACCCGGTTTTTCACCCTGTTGAATTCATTGCTTTATAACTCTCTTCCTTTTCCAACTCTTCTAACTTCTTCTAAGTTCAGCAATGTTGTCCTCATGAAGTTTAATCTTTCTCAAAATTCCTTCTTTATCTAATGGTTGCTTTATCTTTCTAAACTGAACTCTACCATCCTTCATAGTAT